TGGGGTTTAGTCCAAATCTGCATCCTTTCCTTCAAGGCTCAGGGGTCCAAGATTATCTTCTGTGTCTGTATTAATTGGTTTCCCTTTTCTTTGTTGAAGAGGGTCTGTGCAATCCTTCTGCCTAGTCCACCATTTTGCCCCGCCTCTAATGGAGGTTCTAAACTTTTATGAAAGAATATTGAAAATACCATGGGCTACTAGAAGAACAAACAAATCTGTCTTGGAAGAAGTATAGCCGGAGTGTTCCTTAGAATTGAGAAGGCTCATACTTTGTTTCATATACTTTTGTGTGTGTGTGTGTGTGTGTGTGTGTGTGATTTGGGTGAGAGTTTACAGCGCAAATTCACTTTCCATACAGCAGTTCACATACACTTTGTCTCATGACATTTACTATAATTTACCCCAGTACAACAGCTCCCCTCCCACTTCCTCCCCATAGTTACCTCTTCCCTGTGTCCGTCCCTCCATGCAATCCTGCCCCCTGAACTCTCTCCCTGTACATAAACAGCCTTCCTTTCTCCCATGATTGTTCTCTCCAAGGAGTGTATCTACTTCAGGTAAATGTTCAACTCATATGCCTGTCTTTTGTTTGGTTGGGAGCCACAGATGTGGTTCAATTCCAGACCTGAAGGGCAGGTAGGGCCCATAGTCTCAGTGGTTCCATCAGGCTCTATCAGACCAGCAAACCTGCCCCCGCCCTTTTTTTTATCATACACTTTTGTCATGTTGTCACAAGGAACCAGTCACTGGAGAACAATACCTTGCTTAATAAAATAGTAGTAGTAGTTGTTGTTATATGCCCTCAAGTCGGACCCAACTCACAGTAACCCCTCCTTGGGTTTCCTGAGGCAGTATCGCTACAGTAATAGATTGCTCAGCCTTCCTTCTGAGGAGTAGCTGGTGGGTTTGAACCACCAGCCTTCTGGTTAGCAGTCATGTGCCTTAGGCACTATGCTGCCAAAGGTTAATGAAAAAGGAGAAGACATTCAAGGAGATTGATTGACACAAGGGCTGCAATTATGGGCTCAAGTATAGCAAAGATTGTGAGGATGATGTAACACCGGCCAATGTTTGATTCTGTTACAGTACATAGTGACTTTATGAGTTGGAGCTGACTCAATGTAATCTAACAACAATAAATATATATATATATATATATTTATAATCCATTATCTTTCATAAAGCTGATCTGTCCACCAAGAAGGTCACTGCCTAAATTGAAGGAGATATATATATACATATTAGTAGTAGAAATTAAATCTTCACAATATCAAAAGAGCTTTAATACAGGAATTACCAAACACATATGCCCTACTCTTGGGTATCTGGTTTCTTTCGTCAAAATGACAGTCTTGGAAAATAATTTGGAGGTAGATAAATGATATTAATTGATAATGCTTCTAATGTTCATCCAAAGTGTCATTATTGTGTGTCATTTTATGGGTAAAATGCATTCTAGCAATGATATTTTTGTTATTACTATTAGGGTTTTTTTGTTCAAAATGATTCTTGTGTAATATTTGAATTACTGTGTTTATTACTTATGTAGCTGTTTATATTTGAAAATGTAAAAGGTTAACTTACTCATAATTATTTCTCTAAGATATTATTTATATTGATGGTGGAGGGTGTGGTTATCTACAATGTGTTGCCTTTTTAGGAACATGTCCGGATTATTTTCTAATTTGTTTCAAAAGAAAGAAATTTTATCTTGATTCTGTCACTTTGGGGAAAAAGCATCCTTAGAACCAGTTTTGTTTTTATTCTCAGACAAAATGGAATTGACAGAATCAATAAAAGTGTAAAATTAAATGATCTAGTAATTTCTGAAGTTTTTACTTTACCCGTGGAAAGTAATACATCTGGTAGGCAACACTGTGCCTTAATGATGTTTTGTCTGAGATAGCTGTCCTGGCATTCCTACTTGTCTTTTTAAGTCAATGGATTTAAAAAAATAATTCTAAAGACAGTAGACTTGGGTTCCCATTGCATCTCTGTTTTTGTTTCTGCTTATTTGTTTTCCTTAATAAGCAAATAATTTTAAATCTATAATCTTTACTTTTCTCATCTATAAATGAGATGGTTAATATACATGACCTCCATTATTGTCTACCTTAAAAATGCTTTAATGCTATGATTCTGAGTCAAGCTATATAATTAAAACACTAAAGTTTTTTTTCTTTTCCCCAGTCTACTGAAGCTAAACTGATATGGTCACCAAATAAAAATAGTTTATTCTCAAGCTACATGAAATAAAAATGATAGCAATTAACCCAGATCAGAAAATTTTGTTAGAGGGAGAATGCATGGTTTGAAATTTTTTTCAAGGGGAAGGGATACTTAATTAAGCAACCTGGAAAAAGCAGTCCAAGAGCACTTAGCATACAAAAGGGCTGAGAGCCTTCAGAACACCAATGTTCTCCAGAGTGGCTTCCATGTGGCATTCCATTCATCTAGGATCACTTCTTCCCTCTTGGCCATCTACTCTCTAAAGGGAGAAAATTATCCACAGTTAAAAAGCTTCTATATAAGATTCTCAGAACACCTTACAATAAATCCCCACAAGATGACATCCTATCTCTAAACTATACCAACACTTATCCACCAAACAACTTGACTCACGTTATGGGAACTACCACCTATGATGTGAGGCACACAGTGGTATTATTAGTTCCTCTCCTGGCAGAAGGGAAAGACTAAAAGAAAGAAAATCTCTGATCCTGTAGTGTCAGAGAGCAAATGTGACTCTAATGTTACCACTTGGGTCTCTGAACAACTTTTCACACTGAATTGTTGTTACCCATAATGGAGTCCCTGGGTGGTTAATGGTTAAAGTGCTCAATTACCTACTGAAATTTTGGAGTTTGGAGTCCACCAGAGTTCCTTGGCAGAAAGGCCTGATGATCTACTTCTGAATAAACAGCTACTGAAAACATATGAAAGTCAGTTTTACTCTGTCACATACGGGTTTTCATGAGTACGGGTTGACTAAGTGGCAATGGGTATAGTGGTTATGTTCTATGGTAATGTTGGAGAAGTATAGTAACACTACTTTGTGCATTTTGGGCCACTTTACCATTTCCAAGCCACTTTATTTTTCTTATTTATTTAACTAATATTTACTGACTGTACACCAAGGGCTAGGCACTCCTCTAGGCACTGGTGATACATAGATTATTCTTTTTAATTATTTTAACAACTCTTGGAATTTTTTTTTCTTTCTCTTTTTACATAGAAAAATTAAAATTCATTAGGTATAGGTATGATTTAACTTATATATCTAGTAATAATCAGCAACAGAGGTGAAACCCAGGTCCTGTACCACCAAAAGTATTATTGCTACTCTTGGTCTTTGTAAAGATGTTTGGTGTTGTTTTATAAGGGAATTGCTTCCATAATTCCAATCAATTAGTAAATAAATATGCATTCTTGAGAAAAAGAAAATGTATTAGGAAGTCTGTGTTTGCTTATATATGCCTGGCCCTGCCTCTAAAGAAGTGTCTTATATATATTTGGCTTCTGATAAATACAGGAGTGAATGGATGCTGTAAGTGCTTTATAGCACTTGTAAGTGCCTTATAATACATGAGCACTTAGGACCCTAAAGGTTTTGTTTCAGCATAAAAAATTGAAGTCCTCACTTTGGCTGTCAGATCTAAAGTATATTCTCACCACAGCTTAAAAGAAATCCTACATTTGGGGAAACTTAGGGTACTTTCCTAGATTTATAAAGTGATACTTCATTGTTTTCCCCCATTGGTGAGTGATCTTTCTGGTGATTTATAGGCCAGAACCCTGGAGGCAATTAGAGGTGAGAGATTAGAAGTCAGGTGCCTCAAACTCTGTAAAATACCATTTCCTTTATACATTAAAATGAATCCACTTTTGACCTCACTGAATGTGTTGGTAAGATTCCATCATTCTTCTTATTTTTTTTTTTCTTTTTCTTAGGTTACTGCCCACATGGTTATCGGGAATGTCAGAATGGCAAATGTTACAGGCCAGAACAAAGCTGCAATTTTGTGGATGATTGTGGAGATAACACTGATGAAAATGAATGTGGTAGCTCCTGCACATTTGAGAAAGGCTGGTGTGGCTGGCAAAACTCTCTGGCTGAAAACTTTGATTGGGTTTTAGGGGTTGGCTCTCATCAAAGCCTTAGACCTCCCAAAGACCACACACTTGGAAATGAAAGTGGTAGGTTATTACTGTATTACAGTTGCTCTAATATTTTCCACAATGCTCATCACATTGTTTTCCCTGAAAGCAAATGAAGAACCCTGGAGATACAGACCATCATGGTGCCTCTTCATGTAAATCAAACATTTATGAATAATCAACATCTGATATTAACAGCTGTTTTGATAATTGTAAATAGATGATAATCAGGCATGAGTCCTAAAAGCCACACACTTGTAATCAATAACCCTGAATCCTGCCACTCAATTGATCATTAGCAAGTCATTTAACTTTTTCAGATTCTTAAATTCCTCATCTCTCAAGTGGAGATAGTAATATTTGCTCTGTGTACCAAATAGGGTTTGTGGAGATCAAATGAACTGATGTACATGAAGGGAAAGCAGGTTGAAAACTGGAGGTCCTGAGCAAATGCAGTGTAAGATAATGTGTTAAGTGTGTTTGGCCTGGCTCATTTTTGTGTGAGTAACTGAGGTCAAGTCTCAGACTCATTGATCAAGGATCAAAAGACACAGTACAGATGTTGTAGTTGTTGTGTGTCATTGATTCTGACTCATAGATACTCTATAGGACAGAGTAGAACTACCCACATGCTTTCCAAGGCTATAATATTTATGGAAGCAGGCTGTCACATCTTTTCCCCGAGAAGCAGCTAGAGGTTTGAACTACGGACTCATCAATTGGTGGCTGAGTACTTAACCACTGTGCCACCAAGGTTCCCAGTGCAGTGCAGAAGGGACCCAGAATCCTGAAAGATGGCCCAAATACTGAAATTCCACAGGCCTGTGAATGTGATCAAGCCAGCCTGGGCAAGCCACAGTCTAAATCCTATTTGAATACTCAGCTTTATGTAGGTGAGATATTTTGGATATTTGAATAAGCAAGTATAAAATTAATACCTTTCCTCTCACATTGTATATTAAAATGCTAGGTGTTTTACTTATATACTCAATAGATAACTGAATTTGAAAATATGTCATATTACTTTACTTGAATCCTAAGTAGTTATTGCATTGTTTTCAATAACTGGTTAGTTTGAGAAATTCATGAAATGATTTCCATAACTCTCTTGTTGATTTGATGGCATAAATATTCTGTCAGATCAATCAATCTGCATACCGTAAAGTATTTTGCTAAAAGCGGACAATTGGAAATTGTTCAGTGAATGAACTGGAGTCCAGGCTATTAGATTTCCTTTCTGTTTCAAATGGAAATGCCTTTGGCAGCTCAGATCATATGAAATGTAATTAAAACCCTAACTAAGATGGGAAAAGGCTAAAATAATGTTCTCATTGTTATTTCTGTTGTATCTGAATACCATCCTTGTTTGTAGGGCACTTCTTGTATCTGGAGGCTACTCCTATGGGCCTTAGAGGGGAAGAAGCAAACCTGAAGAGTGCCATGTGGCAGGAATCCAGCACCACCTGCACCATGAGCTTCTGGTATTTTATATCTGCAAAAGCCACAGGGTCCATCCAGATTCTCATTAAGGTAGGATTTCAACCTGTGCTTCTTTCAAGCTTTGTGAGGATTTCTACAGGGAGCACATGCCCAAAGGTTTATCACAGCCCTGATAACTTGGCCAGAGGGAGCCTTCCTTTCATCAGAGGGAGCTGCCACTGTTCTTCAGATGCTCTGTGGGTTTAACCACCTGTAGCTCAAATGCTTAGTGAGAAGCTGGGGCAAGGCAACCAGCTTGGCATTAAACATCATACCTGTTGGTACAACTGAATCCTAGAGACTCCTTTTATGAGAACAATTAATCTAAGATGTGTTAGTTCCTTCTCTTGATTTAGGTCTTATCTTCTCTATGCGTCTCAATAAAAGAAAATAGATTATTTGTTCATCTGAAAGATGAGTGACTATTCATTTTATCTCATATATGAACAACCATTAAGGGAACTAATAATAGACATTCCCATTCTAAGCACACTGTGTAAATGACTAAACCCTAAGAAGAATGATCAAGGTATTATAACATTGAACTGCTTATGAACTGTGACACAGTAATGCATTTTTTTTTTAACTGAGGATTAATTGGATGTTTCTGTCAGGGCTTTAATTTAGTATTACAAAGTGACACAGTGTTCAGGGAACAAAATAACAAAGCACATATTAATGATACTTGCTTCATATAACTTAAGATATTTTTGCAGGTTAAACCAGCATCAAAAAGGAGATAAGTATATGAGTGCAGGTGTGTGTATGTGTGCACATGAATGTGTGTGTTCATGTCTATTTCAAGAATCTCATGAGAATTCCAGGAAAGGATCTTCTTAAAACAGGCTCTTTAGGCCATTGCTGTTTTATAACATGTGAGTCTGGTGATGTGCCCTAGTACTGATGCAAAATGCCTGATGTGAATATCAAAGAGCTCATATGTCTGTATAGCTAATAGGTGCATAGTCCACATTTTATCTGACACCTGAATTACTTTTTAACTTAGGACTCTACTGTAATAATGCAGAAAAGCCTATCTTATAAAATACATGCAGCAAGTAGTATCTTAATGAATTATTCTCATATTTAAATATGGAAACTTACTGAAATATAATGCTTACGGTTATCATAGGAATATCTTGCATATTTCTCTTTTAAATGTGATACTTGGTTATACAATATGCAACATGTGAATTATTTGGTACTGCTCTGTGGGCTTTGCTTTTATTATTACTTAACTCATATTTGTATGTCAACTCTCTTATGTTACAATAACAAAATTTATATTACTGTGTAATGTAAAATCAAAAGATTTTGGAATAACAGTCTTCCTACTGAGTAAAGTCATATATCAAACTCTTGTGGTTCCTCCAATTGATTCCTATGGAAATTAATTATTGTTGTCATTGTTATGTGCTGTCGAGTTGGTCCCAACTCATAGTGACCCCTCCTTTGGTTTCCGAGGCAGATCAGTACAGAAGTAGATTGCCCAACCTTCCTTCCAAGGAGTGGGTGGTGGGTTTGAACCATCAGCCTTCTGTTTAGCAGTCGAGTGCCTTAGGCACTACACTACCAGAGAATTTTACAAGAATGTTACTGCTGCTTTTAATACTACTACTAATAATAATAAGCATAATAAACATAACTTATTTTTGAAGTACTGTATATGCAGACTCTTGTTTAGTCACATGGATTGTGGAGAAAAATACTTTGTAACATATATTAAACTTATATTCAGGAATTCTGGAGCAATCATTCTAATTTAGTGGTTTACATGTTTTTGATTGTCATTACAAAGTACTTCTCAGGCTTCTCTCTGTGTGGAGTCATGCTGGATTTTACTTGCTCATTTGTTTGAAAATATCCTAACCAGATGGCAAATATAGTAGGGGCAAAGATTCAGCTTTTTGTTTTTCCCTTTCTTTATTGCTCATCTTTTAAATTTTGCCAAATTTATCCATGTGTCCCGCCTGTATCAGCTGCTCATGCTATTCTTAGGAATGCTTTCCTTTTTTCCCTCCACATCAAATATATTCTGGAAGCTTCACTCCTTTCACCAAACTTTCCTTGAACACTTTTCCTCACTATGAATACTCCTTCCCTAATCATTCCTCACAGCTCCAGATATTATTCCTGATCATTGGCTGTTATTCTGTATGTATTCTAATTCCACAAATAGATTATAAACTCATGAGAGCAAGTCCTTGACATTTCACTTTTCCTATATCCCTCTCTTATCTTCAGAGAAGAGGCTCAGTGAAGGGAACACAGGCAGAAAGTGTGCCCTCACAGAGCCCACTGCAAGGCTTTGGACAACTGTTGTTATGGAATGGCCATTCTGCATTACATAAATGACATTAACATCTAATTAAAGACTCCATCCTGAAATATGTACATGCAGTGGGATGTAAAAGACATTCAATGGTTGAATATTATTTAATAGTAATGTAGTTTATATGGGGTAGTATTGATTACAGATCACAACCCTACTAATACATATTAAGGGTTACTATTTATTGAGCATGAGGCTCAGGGATCCAGGTGAGGAGAGGGAACACAGGCACGCCCAATGCATCAGGACAGGAGAACCAGAGAGGGGAGAAGAATAAGCTCAGGGACTGGGAGAGAAGAGGAGTGAGCTGCAGGGATCCAGGTGAGGAGAGGGAACCCAGGCACACTCATAGCATCAGGGTGGGAGAACTGGAGAGAGGAGACAATAGCCCGAGGACCAAGACAGAGAAGTGAGCCGCAGGGATCCAAGTGAGGAGAGGGAGCCCAGGAACGCCCAAAGCAGCAGGTCAGGAGAGCAGGAGAAAGGGGAGGAAAAGGCCCAGAAACCAGGACAGAGAAAGAGTCAGCCACAGGGACCCAGGTAAGGGTGGTACGAGAGGTTTCCAACTGGGAGACAAAATTGTCTGTCAGTTTGTCCTACCATGGTGACGTGTTGATGTGAGTTTTGAGGCTGAGCCACTGGTGTTTCAAACCCAGTGGGGTGCACATGGTGCACATGTATCAGCTCAGCCCATAGACTGAGACAGACTAGGAAGAAGGAAGAGACTGTCTACTTCTCAAAGAATTGGCCAGGGAAAACCTTATGAATAGCAAAGAAACACTGTCTGATACATTATCATGCAACTTTATGAATAGTCTAGTTAGGTTAGAAGGCTCTCAAAATAGGACTGGGAAAGACCTGCATCATCAGAGTAAACCTAGCCTTACTCCTATGGATAAGGTAAAGCTTTCGAGACCTCCATTTGCTGATGTGGCACCACTCAAATTGAAGAGAAACAGCTGCACATATCCATTAATCATTGGAACATGGAATATATGAAGTATTAATCTAGATAAATTGGAAGTTGTCAAAAATGAAATGGAATGCAAAAAGATTGATATCCTCAGCATTAGTGAGCTGAAATGGACTGGTTTTGGCCATTTTGAATCAGACAACCATATAATC